TCATGCAGCTCGTTCCCTTCCACCTCCAGTGTCAGCAGCTGGCTGAGCCCTGCAGCATGGGTGGAGGGGCACAGTGAGCTGCCTGTGGCACTTTCTGCTTTGTACCTCCCTTCCACCTCCCTAGCTGCCCAGCCCCCAGCCCCAGGGCCAGTCCACATGATGCACCCTGGAAATTGCTTCGCTGCAGGCCCTGCAGGAGGCTGTCATTGAGTTCAAGCTCCTGCAGAGAGGTGGGTAAAGCTGGTACTGTGGACAGTGAGTTTCCATCCAGGTTTAGCCGCTTTAGCCTGGTCAGATTCTGCGGGCAGAAGAGTGCGGCCAGGGTCTGTGTGCTGCTGGTCGGGGACCAGACCTTCATGGGCGTGGCCAAGAGGCACCCTGACTTGGTTGCCTTGTGTCTTGCTAGGTCTCATTGGAACCAGTCCTGTTTGGGGGCTGTCCTTTGCTCCTGCAAGAGGCCCAGGGGCCTCTGCTGCTCCCCAAGTCCCAGCTACAGTCTATGTGCCCCAAGTCACACAAGCCCTCTGTGCTGGGCACTGTGCACAGCACCACCTCCAGGGCTGTTCCCCAGCAGCTCTACCCTGAAGCCCAGTGGATACCTTGGGCCATCCAGGACTGCCAGCCCCTTGAGCCCAACCCTGGGAGAGAAGGATGAGGGGCTGTGGCATACCTTGAAGGCATGGCTGTCCAGTTTGTTCTTGCTTAGGTTCAGCCATTCCAGGTTAGGCAGCCCCAGGAAAGTGTGGGCTGAGATCGTGGTGATTTCGTTCTCTGCATACACGGGGCAGCCATATTCCGTGCTCCCTTCCCCCTGCCCTCTGCCACTCGGAACCTCACACTGTCTTGCAACCGGCTCTCCTGACTGTACTGGGTCAGGGCATCTCCACACTGCCAGCCAGGACCCCAGGGGGTGGGCCATGCTCAGTGCAGTGGGGCAGCCGCAGTAACCATCCAGCCACATACCCTTGTCACCCCTGCTGGGGGGTGGGTGCTGGAAGAGAGGGCCCACCCACCTGGCAGGTAGAGTGTGGTCAGGCCAGGGTCAGTCAGGGCAGGGACATGCTTCATCTTGACATTTCCACAGGCAACGGCTGCCTGGGCCAGGAAGCAGGAGGCTGGCAGGGAGGGCATGGCCTGCTGCGCAGTGCCCAGGCCTGCAAGCCCAGGCCCGTGCCCTCGCCTGCTTCCCAGCTGTTCCCGCCCACGGCCTCTGCTATGCTCCTTCTGCTGGGGCTTAGCCCCCAGCCTGGACTGGTAGAAGGTCCCTGGAAGAAGACAGAGGTGGTTTTCGAGGATCCTCGAGGTGCAGAGGCTTGCCAGCAACAGGCTTGGAAGGATGTGACTTTGGAGGGGTCCCCTCTTGCTCCACACATGAGGTCCCTTAGCCTGTGCCCACTGAGAATGGTGCAGGACCCGAGCAGCTGGTGACTCGCACCTGTCCAGGCCAGTCCTCACCCCTGGAGAGCCTCCTGGCTCCCCGACTCTGCACCCAGCCCCTTGTTCAGCCCCTACTCCTGCCCCAAGGCCAGTGTGGGTTACTCCTTCCTCAGAGCCAGCCCTGGCCTGACAGGTGCCCTCCAGTTGGGGGTGACGGGCTGGCTGGAGGTTCTGGTGGGTTTCTCCTTGGAGGTAGGCCATGCCTTTGGCCAGTCCAGCTGCCCATCCCCAGACCTGTCTAGGCTGCTGGTCCCAGTAATGGCTTGTGCCTGACCTGCAGAGGGAGCCAGTGTGGGTCAGGGTGTCTGGACCCCCACATGACAGGGGACCTGGCCTTCTTTCCCCAAGCCAGCCTACCTCTCAGAAGGGAGGCATCTCTTTCTTCTGCAGAGTGGTCTTGAAGTCTATCGGGCCCAGGCATGGGCTGACCTTGCCTGCTCAGGGGACACTGGGTCCTACTTCATCTCAATCCCCCAGGCCCCTAGATACAGGAGCAGGCATTGCCTCAATGTCTCCCACAGCCCGTGGTGAGCAAGGGCCATGAATGCTCCTCCTAGACGGAGCACTGCCACCTGATACCCTTTGCCTTTGGAGGTAGCTACCTGGCATCAGCTGAGTGGCCCTGAATTGTTGGAAGATAGGTAAGGCTGGAAGTCACCTGGAGAGGCTGTCAGTGACATCAAAGGAGGAGTGATAGCTCTAGGGGCCTCCCTTGTCCTTAGAGCCAGCAACCCATGGGGTGGGGGCCTGAGCCCACTCAACTGCTACCACCTACTATGCCCCTGGGCCTGGGTTGGAGCCGCTAAACACAGCACTAGCCTGTGAGACAAATGCCACACCTGCAGTGATTGTCCAGTAGCCTGTGAACCCCAACCTGTCAGCCACCCCCAGACCCTAGTAGGATATCCCATCCTCCCAGGATTTGCCCTGTTCCTGTAGGTTCTATGGAGGCCAGGTCAACCCTGGACTCAACAAAGCCTAATCCTGTCTTCCAGCCCATCCCCTGGTCTGCTGAGCCAAGACCTCCCACACTCTGTGATCCAGGCCGGGCTCTCTCTGAGGACCCTGGACCCCTCCCAGGCTGCCTGGGCACCCCAGGTGAGCAGCCCCTAGGGGCTGGTGTTCCCCCCCTCTGCCTAGCCCTGAGGCACTCTAGTAGCACGCGCCAGCTACTCACTGTCATTGGAGGACCTGGGCAGCAGATGCAAGGTAGGCAAGCTCGTGGCAGTCAGTGGGGCAGTGGGCTTGCTCAGGGGCAGCCCCTGCTTGGACAGGGCCCCCCAAGACCAGCACCCTAAAGAGCCAGGATGAGGAGCAGCGCATTCCTCATGGTTCTCATGGGTAGGTTGACGACAGAGGGCACAAAAAACTGGCAGCAGCAAACCAGTGCCAGGGTGGGTTGGGACACACGATGGTCCTACTGCCTGAGCTCCTGGCCCTATCTGCTGTGCTTGGGGCTTCCCTCTCCAAGGAAGACCACCTTCTGCCAACCAAACACCTCCCCAAGCCTTGCCCCCAAGTCCTCTCCAAGGCCTACTCCCTCCGGACAATTTGCCATCCCTCGCTCAGCTCCTCCTGTAAGGCCTGCATTGATTCTTGCTGGCCCAGGCCCAGGGGCCCCATGAATGCATCTCTGTCTCCGCACCACAGGCCTGAGGCCCACCGCAGAGCAGAACGCCCACCACAGGTAGCCAGGAGAGGGCCAGGCGCCCAGGTTACCTGGGCAGAGCCTGTGAACCTGCCAACTGTGTGGGCTCCTGCTGCAGGCACAGTAGGGGGTGGAGCCTCCCAGCTCTGGGGCTAGAGGGCGCGTGGGCAGGGCAAGCGCAGTGACTCCTGGTGCTCAAGGCTCCACTGCGAATGGGCACTGGTCGGCCTTGGCATGGGGCTGACTCCTGCCTGCTGCTGGGTGGTTCCCATCTCTCCAGGCTGCTGTTGTCTCTGTAAAACAGGGGACAGACTGGATGTCCTGTGGCACCCCCTGTTGGAATATGCATATACGAGGCACTCCCCGGGCAATGCTATCTCACAGGTACCCCCGGACAGCTCGGCCAAGGCCAGAACCTGGACGTGACTGTGCCAGACACTGCCCCAATGCTCCTGTCCCCCCACACCCTGTGAGTCACAGAAGCCCTTGTGAGACAGGGCTGATAGCAGGAGGCCAGACCTGAGGGAAAGGGCTGCTAGGTGGAGACGGGGCCAGGTAGGTACCAGTGCGCCCACGCCAAGAAGAGCTTCACACGGCCCCCAGAAAAGCCCTTGTGAGGGCACCCACCATCCCTGCTCTGGCGGCTGGCCTGGACACTGAGCAGGGTGTCCCGAAGAAGCCCCAGCCTCAAAGCCAGTGCTGAGAGCCGAGGGCGGCAGGGGTGGGGGCTAGCGTGGGGCACTGACTCCTCACATGGCTGCTGGGGCCAGCGCTGAGGAAGCTTTTCCTATAGCTCTGTCCAGTGTTGACTTATGTTTGGACACGATCTGAAAAAATGAGTTAATTGCGGGCAAGGCTTGGGTGGAGGGGAAGGGGGAGGGAGGGGGAGGCAGGAGGCAAGGGAAGGAGCGGTAGGGAAGGTGGGGCTCCCGGCTCCTTCTCCATCTCTGAGGGAGGCTGAGCCAAGTCAAGGAAGGGGGCTGCCAGGTGCCATCTTGGCGGAGCCTTTTGGTCCCGGGAGCAGCAGACGTACTGCATGCAGGGAATGGTGGGAACACTGTTCTGTAGGAGTCCCCATTCACCCTGGCAAGGGCTCGCAGCCACCCCTCCTACCTCTGCATGCAGGCAGGACTCTGGTTTATGACCTGAATTTGGGACAGTGCCACACATAGACCAGAGACAGAGACTGTCTGGGGAATGAACAAATGCCTTGGAAGCCAGGGATGAGGCCACCGTCTGTGCACCCTGTGGGTGACACAGGGTGGCCCAGCTCCAGCCTGTGCACGCGTGCTTGTGTGTGTGTGTGTGTGTGCACGCGCGCATGTGGGCGTGTGCACTCTGGGGAAAGAGAGCCCTTAGGCACAAGAGGCCTGAGGTGCTCTATGGCGACACCCCCTATCCTTCCACTCCGAGTTCCACAGGAGGGGGCTCGCCCCAGAAACCGCATCTTGGGCCTCCACCTGTCTAAGAGGTCTCTTGAGCAAGGGGCTAGGATGCTGCCTGAAGTGGGCCTGGAGATGTTCCGATGGGAGCCAGGGCGCCGCCCTTCCCCCTGCCTGCTGTGGATTCTGGAATCCTGGCCCCCTACCCGTTTCCCCTGTTCTTGCCGCTCCCCCAGGCGCTGACTAAACATCCTGCCATCTGGTTCCCATTAGCTGGGCTGGGGGTGGGGGGAAGCCTGCTCCCAGGTTTCTCTGGCATAACCAGCCTGGAGGAGGGAGGGACCCCCTCTGCTCCTGCCCACCTAGGCAGGAAGGGGCAAGGCATGGGGGCTCTCAGTTCCCTGGTTCAACCAGCCCCATGTTGGCTGGCCCCTCTGCATTGGGGGGCTCGGCTGTGGAACTGGGGGGCTCGGCTGTGGAGCTGGGGGGGGCACCTGGGAGTGAGCGGCACTCCTGTTCCCTGCTCTATCCAGTCTCAAGAGTGCCCAGCCATCTCGGGGACCTGAAGGAACCAAAGAACCAGCCTGTGGGAAGCTCAGCAGAACTTGGGACTCCCAGTGAGTCTCAGCGTTGTCCTCCTGCTCCCCTTCCCCAAAAGCTCCAGAGCAGAAGTACTCTCAGAGCCAGGCAGGGCCCCCGGCCAACACTGATCCTGAGCCGGTGTCTGTAAAGCAGGATGGGAGGGGCACTGGGATTTTCCAGGAACCAGGATGAGGCCTGGGGCTTGCTGGAAAGAGCTCTGCTATGGACTGGCCGGCTGTGTGATCTACAAGCAAAGCTCCCTTCCCAATATGGTGTTCCTAAGAAAGTTCTAGAATCCTCACATGGGCAGCCAAAAGAATCTGCCCTAGATGATCAAGGTCGCATCTAGCTGCCCACGCCTTGGATGCTGAGGACCGGGAAGGACTCCTGCCCCTTCCTCTTCTCCCCTCCCTCCATGCAGCCCAGCTCCTCACATGGGCAAGCTCTGAGCTCACATACCCTCTACACGTCAGGACTCTACTTGGTAGCCAGAAAGAGGACAAAGCAATACTCTTTGTCCCTCAAGTGTCCTTTGAACTGCACAGCTGACAGCTCCACTCTCACCAAGGGAGGACTGGATTTCTGGCCCCTGCTTGTGGTAACATAGGGACTCCATTAGCAAGAAGAAGGCTGGAGGGAGGGGTGCTCTGGCAGAGGATCTGAGGAGGGCCTTGAGGAAGGAGCCCCACAGAGATGCGGACAGAAGCGATGGCGTGCACAGGGAGCTCCAGCACAGAGCCCTCCAAGAGGAGGCCAGCCCGTGCAAAGGCCCTGAGCGGGAAAGGACTTGGCCTAGCTTTAGTTTTACCATTTACTATATTATAAAATATATAGCAGCAGGGTGGAACAGTGTTATTAGGGCACAAGGACAGGGGCAGGGGGCCAGTGTGGCAGCAGTCGAGCTGTCCAGGGGAGAGGTGACAGTGACTAGCCCCAAGTGGAGGGGTGCAGTAAGGACACCATGGGGCGTGAGCACCAGCCTCATAGTGACCCACTCTAGGAGCCAGGCTGCAGGATTGGTTGTTGGGCCACCAGGAAGGCAGTCCACGAGAGCAAGTGGGCTCAGGGCCAAGGCCAAGGAATCCTGTCCTCCGCCCCGGACCCAGAGCACCTACTACAGGCCTACTACTCACCAGTGCTTTGGACGGCCCCTGGTGGGACAGTGTTTCCAGTAGCCCCAGACACACCCTAGGAACTCCCCGGGGAGAGGGAGCAGGCCCATCCTTGAGCCTCCTACGTTGAAGGGAGTTTGTGTCACCCGGCACTGGGCCACAGTGTGCCCATCGGGCAGATGGCTTGGGCTACACGTGTGTGCAGTGATGCTCCTGTTGGCAGAGGGGTAGAGGCATTGTGCCCCTTGAGATTGGGTAAGAAAATGTCACAGCTCTCTGTGCCCCTGTTCTGTGGCCAGCAGCCCTTCCTAGAGGAAATGCATCTTGTTTTAGTGTGGTCCCAATTAGAGGGCTCTTCTGGCAGATGCTTTTGGGGGCTCAGAGACAGTGGCCCATTCAGATCTGACTCAGCCTGGGGCTTTTGTGCCTAAGACCCAGTATCCAGAGCAGGGCGGAGAAAGAGCAAGAAGAAAGCCTCTGCAGGGGCCAGAAGGGTCAGGAGCAGGTGGAGGGGTGCCCCTGGGGGTGCTGGGAGAAAGTAGCCTGCACAGAGCCCATGGGCAAAGGCTCTCAGGGCTGGGTGGAGGAGCAGGGCTGGGCTGCACGGGGACCCTTTCCCACCCTCCCTCCAGGCTGCAGTTCCCTTGTCCCTGCCCAAACTGTGGACTCCACTTGACCTCCTTCAAATGGGCCTCAGGCAGGGACAGAGGCAGCCACGCACTGGCCTTCAGGCTCGCTGGGGGAGGGGGCTGCTGGGCCAAGGGCAAGCTCGGGCCCCCTCCCCGGTTCAGCAGCCTCCAAGCGGGCATGTTCCCATGCCAGAACTGGCGCCCGCCTCTCCGGCTTCAGACGCATGTGACTCAGCCCGGCAGCCTTGCCAAGCTGTCTAGACCAGAGCGTCTCCCTGTGGAGGGGCGATCCCGCCACTGTTTCCTCCACTGACGGCCAGGATAAGAGGAATGGGGTGAGAGGCCCCCACCACCCACGCCTTGGTGTTGCCTGCAGCACAGCAGACAGGGAGTGCCTGGTCAGGTGGGGGTGGGGAGCCCATCACACACTGCATTGGTAAAGCCTGGGGCAAGGGGACAAAACAAGACCTTAGTGGTTACCTCTCCCTGTCCCCACCAGGTCACCAGTGCTTCCCAGGGCTCATGCCAGCTCTCAGAGCCAGGCTCTGTCCACAACTAGCAAATGCTGGCTAGACCCTGGGGACCCTGGCTGGCTCTAGGTGAGCTGCACAGTGTGCTTCTGCAGGGACTTGTGGCCAGTGGGAGGGGGGCAGGTGAGAGCAGCACTCCTTGGCTCTGGGTACACCTCCACTGCAGGGAGTGAGGGTAGGGCCCTCAGGCAAGAGAAGGCTGGGGCAGGAGGTCCATGGGGTACAACCCTGCTTGGGCTCCCCTAAGGAGGTGGCTTTGCCCCAGCTCAGGGACATGAGATGACAGGAAGAGGCTGGTGGCAGTGTCCCCATCCTTAACTACCTGTGACTTCCCAGGTGGTCACAGTCTAAGCTCGCCAGGCTTTAGCTCCTAGGTTTGGGGCCTCATCCATCTGTAGCTGGGAATGGGGGCCACCCGATGGCCATAGCAGGCTCACACCTGTGAGCCCCACAGTGGCAGCTAGAGAAGGGACGCCAGGAGTACATGCTTGACCTCAGGGTAGGATGAATCACATGAGCAAAAGTCAGTGTCCTTCTTGCTCCAGGACCCTTAGGTCTCAGTGTCCATGTCAAAGTTTGGGGTCCCTGTGGCCTTGAGGTTCTTTCTCCTCTCATCTGCAATACCCCTTTCCACGCTCTCCACTCCTCCCATCTGCATGAAGAGGATGCCTTTTTCAGTGGGTTCCTGGCTGGCACAGGACGTGTGGGCTGGCTGCAAGACCTGGGTCAGTGGCTTTCCAGCAGTTCAGGGTGGCGCTCAGGAGCAGAGGGGTCCTGGGAGAGGGGAGAAGAGGTAGGAGGAGGCGTAGGGCAGGGGAAGAGAGTGAGGAGGGGAGAGGAGAAGCCGGTGGCAACCCCAGCACCCCCTACTTGGCTTGGCTTGGGGAGCGGCCTGAGCTCCGGGCACCCTCAGCAAACCTCATCTCCTCCCCAGACCCAGTGCCATGATAAGCTTCTCAGCACATGTTAGGGTTCATATCTACATGCCCCCACAGCCTCCTAAGAGCGCAGGCAGGGCCTCTGGAAGATGCCCGGATTATGGGGCTCAGAGCTGACCTGTTAGGAGGCAGGGCCTGGGGGCAGAGGGGATCACCCGGGTGTGGCCTGGAAAAGTTTGTCTCCATCCGCAGCTCATGCCTGGACTCTGCTTCCTTGCTGCCAAGCCAAGGTCCTCTGCTGCACTGTGCTGCCTTAGAGCCAGCAGACTAGCAGGCAAAATAAACCTCCCTTCAACTGTGGGTGGTGGGTACTGGGTCTCTGCGATGAGACAGTGACTGAGACACCGCACAGTTGAGCTCTCCCCCTGAAATCTCTTCTCCTCTCCCCTCTCTTCCCCTCCCCTCCCCCCAACACACTTTCTTCCATTATCTGGGGCTCCCTGTCATTACTGGGGAACTTCCCAGGTGAGGGAGGTGAAGTAGAGCAAGGCCCCCAGGGGCCTTAGCCTCTACCATTCTGGGGCCTGATAGGCGCAGCAGGAGCGGGACTCGTCGGGCATTGGCTTCCTCCAATCAGTGTTGTCTACCCAAGCACCCTGGCTCCAATTCTTGCTTCAGCCTAGGGTCTGCTGCATAAGGCAAGCGGGAGAACTCCAAGACTTGCTCTTGTCCTGATGTCCTTCAAAGTCCTGTGATAGCCCCTTGCTGTAAGGCAGGGAGCCAACTCTGTGAGCCCAACTGCTTGCTTATACATTTCTAAGCCCACCACACAGCTCAAGGGGCCTCATACGCCTCCACCACCCGCCCACCCATCACAGGGCCCATGCCTGACAACTGCTCTCATTTTCCAGCTCATTTGCCAAGCACTGACACGTGTGGCTAAGGCCTTGGTGGGACACATAGCCAAGTTTCCCCCATGATCAGGATGCTGGCTCGTGCTGCGTGTGATGCCCAGTTCTGCCCAAAGCCCCAGTCTCCCCCTGCAACACCTTCTGCAGCTCAAAGCATCTTTACACCCCCAGGCTTCCCTCAGTGTCTGGGCAGGAAAGTCCCTTAGCAAACTGCCTGATCCCTTCAGCCCTGTAGACTCAGGGGCTAACAGGAAGGGACTGTTAGCCTCCACAGCTCCATGCACCTCCCTGGGATTGCACACCTCCCAAAATGGGGAGTTCCCTTCCAATCCAAGCAGCCAGCTGGTGTTCAGACAGTGCTTTCTGGGAAAAGTGCTTCCTTGTGCTGCGCTTGAGGCTATGTTTCCAGAAGCTTCTACCACTGGGCCTCTTAGTTTCTTCTCCCTGAGAGGCCCATCATCCTCTGCATACCAACCCAGCTTCCAGACTTTCCACTGTAGGACGCCTGGGAGGTGCCAGAACTTGGGGTGTGCAGGCAGGGAGGCTGCAGCCTGCTGCTGGTCTTCAGCAGCCGCCTCTAAGAGCTGGGAGGGCCAAGAGCTCCTCCACGCAAGGGCATGGCCCTCACAACCTCTCCAGATGGTGTTTGCCCCTTCTGGTCCTGCCAGCCTCTCTGTGCCCCACCCCATGCCATAGACAGAGCTGCTGAGTTGGGGGAAAGAGGGCTTAGTGTACTGGCTCCTTGGAACTGGGTGGAGAAGTGAGCTTTTCTTCCAGAATACACAGGGGCTGGTTTTTTCCCCATTCTCAGAAGATATGGGGGGAAGGCAGCCACACTGCTGTGGTTTTTCCCGCCAAATTCCCTAGTCCTAGGAAAGATCCACAAAAAAGCCCACAAGAATTTGAATGTCTGGGCTGGGGCTGTAACTGAAATGAAATTTTCTACAAAGAAAGGAAAAAAAAAAACAAGAGAAAGAGTAAAAACAAAACCCCTGCAGCCACCCAAAGCCCCTTCCAGCCCCCTTCTTCCAGCAGGGCCCAAGGCAGCTGCCGCACAGAAAGTAAAAGGGGGCCTTCTTTTCCGAAGCTCCCATCAACTCAACTTTGGAAGCTCCATGACCTCAGTAGAAATTCAAATTCCAAATCTTTCCATGAGGAACCCGGCCCTCCCCACTCCAGCTGGGACTGTGTCAGGGCCCCCCAAGGCCTGGCAGAGTCCCTTCCTGTTAGCCCCAGAATCCTGCCCACGCCGGCCTCCCAGGACCCAGCAGAGCCATCAACTGGATCATCTTCGCTGCTCCTTGCCTCCAGGAGGTGGTGGGCAGTGCAGGGAGGTCAGACAGAAGAGAGAGCCCCCTATGGCTCCTTCCCACCTTGTCCAATCAGCAGAGCCTACGGTTGGGGGCACTGGAGTTGTGGGGGAAGCAGGACCCAGGCACTGGGCCACCCCGGCCGGAGCTGGACTGGGGGAGGAACGAGAGGGGGAGCGGGCAGACAGGGCCCAGCATGACAGGAGTGAACATTTAATGGTGTTTTTCACCTACCAGTACCGTCCCAGGCATCTCATAGGAACTGTCACCTCATTCCACGTAGGTGAGTGCTGTCACCACCCCCGTGAGGGGAAGGCAAGGAGGCACAGAAAATTAGGTAGCTGGTCCAGAGTTACACAACTTAAATTCCCTCCAAGCACAGCTGGTCGCGGGAAAAGAGAGAGCCGCCCTGGGAGGTGGGGCAAGGCAGGAGCGCCCCCTCCCGGAGGAGTCTCGCCTCTCGGTGGCGATCGTGCTCCCCTTCCCGCCGCTAGGGACACCGCCAGCGCGGCGGGTAACAGAGAACCAACCCCACCAGTTGCCTTCCCGCCTCCCCGCCTCCGGGCCCTCTGTCAGCAGCGGACTGCCCTCTGGGTGGGGCCCGGGCGCATGCGCAGACCGTCGACCGAGCCGCTGTCCAATCGGAAGGCACGGTGGAGGGGAGGTGGCCGCAGCCGCCTCGGTAGCCGGGTCCCGCCCCGTGGCGCGTAGGCGGAGGGGGGGGGACGAAGAGAGCACGAAGCTGGCGTATGATTGGCTGACAGGCCGCGAGAGCGTACCGGGAGTGGGCGGAGCCGGCTCCAAGCGCGAAAGATGGCTGAGGTAGCTGCTGTCTTGGCTTCTGGCTCTCCCGGCGATTTCTGCGAAGACGACGGTGACAGCCGTGTGTTAAAGGCGGCCTTGGAGGTGTTCGGGAAGCTGAAGGTGCCGTGGGCTCAGGGGGCCACCCAGAGGGCTGGGGAGCGGGCAGGGCCCTGTGAGAGACGTGCACAGGCTCGCCACCGAGACGGACGACGCCACTCCGTCCCTGTCGTGGGTCCCTGCTGCACTCTCTTTCCCCCTGCAGCAGGCGGCATCTGTCATCTTCCCTCCCCGAGATGATCTTCCCTTTGCCCCGCTGCAGCCAAACTCGGTGGCCTCTTGCCCTCCTTCCCCTTTCGCTCTGCCTAGAGACCAAGTGTGGATCTCCTGTATCCTCTGCTGCCACCAGAGCCCAGAGGGGTCCGCTTACAGGCAGCAGGCAGCAGACTATGGGGCGTGTGGTGGTGAGGGTGAGGGATCTCAGCTTGGCACGATTGAAGCAAAGCCAGAGGGGTGCTGCAGCAGACAACCTGCTCTGTCTGGAGGAAAATGCGTGCACGAGCTAGGGTCTCGGGCACGCGCTGGCAGAGTGGCATTGCCAGCCTGCAGTGACTGGCTTCCTCATTAAGCTTCGGACGTTGTTTTTATTTGCTTAGGACCTGAACTGCCCTTTGCTGGAGGGTCTATACATCACAGAACCAAACACGATCCATGAACTGCTGTGTACGCCTTCAAAGTACCGCTTAGAGATCCTGGAGTGGATTTGTACACGGTAACACCCGTGGGCATCAGCAACCCCCAGCCTGCTGAGAGCAGCTGCCATGGGCCATGCAGAGCTAGTTGGCCTGCCTTGGCACCCTGGACTGGGCCTCTGCGAGTTCCTCTCTTGTACTACAAGTTTGGAGGTTCAGGGTTAGTAGGGACCTGAGAAATGTTCCATTTCAGTATTTCTGTGACCAGTGAACCAAGGCTCAGCTCGAGCATGAAGTTCCTCTTGGATCTTGTGGCAGAGGGTGGCCCACGGGGCTCCAGCCTGGCCCTGAGCTCAGCAGGTGGCTCTCATGTGGCAGCAGTTGCCAGCCCCTGTTCCGTGACCGCGCTTTCCAGCGCTTTCGGTCAGGGTGGTGGAGTGGGTGTTCTGCCTGAGCGTGTATGCTGGGAGCAAAGCCTGCGTGTGAGGCAGAGGGAGTGCCCCAGACACCCTACGGAATGTGTGCTCTTCGGGAACAGCACGTCCCTGAACCGGGCGTCCCTCAGGGCTGAAGGCTGCCAGGGACAGAGAGGCCCCAGGGGCCGGTTCCTCAGGCCTGAGCACTTCAGGAAGCTGCTGTGTTCTTTCCTCTCGTGGGCAGCTAATTTTCTTTCTTTTTTTTTTTCCAGAGGATTTTCTCTTCAGTTTTCGTATTTTTTGAGGTATTTTTCTCTAGTAATGACATGAAAGATGAAATGACATGCACCTAACCTAAAATAAGCCATTTGAAAGTGACATTTGGTCACATTTAGCACCTGTACAGTAAGCCCCTCTAGGTCGTGGTGCTGGGCTCTCCAGCTCCCTCAGCCTCACAAGCTTTGCTGTTTCCCTGCAGGATCTGTCCCTCTATGCAGGACAAGTTCAGCTCACTGAAGGGGGCCCCGGTGGAGGCAAAGATCCAAGGTAGGATGGATATGACATGAGGACACTCTAGGCATTCCTAAGAGTGCTCTGGCTGCTTTCCGCAGGACTCATAACCTTTTTCTTTTGCTTAAGTCATTTCTTGGTAGAAACTATCTCTAACCTGGTAATGAAGATCAGACAAAGGCTTCGGGCACAGTGGTGCACACCTGTAGACCCTGAGGAAAGAGGAGGCTGAGGAAAGAGGCTGGAAAGCTGAAGCCCAGCCACGGCAACTGAGTGACTTAGTGAGACCCTGTCTCAAAATAAGAAATAAAGCCGAGCTGGGGATGGAGCTCAGTGCCAGCGTCCTGGATTCAACCTCTAGTGCTCTAAAAAAGCAAAGCAAAGCAAAGCAAAGCAAAGCAAAGCAAAGCAAAGCAAAGCACAACAAAAACAGCAATCCCTTTAGAGCCTGCCAAGTGTGAGGGTGGTTTCCATCACCCGATCTCTGGGAGGCTGGTACCCCTCCTCGGAGCTGAAGTTGAAGTCCCATGTATGTAAGAGCATGGTGGGCAACCTGTGGTTTTCCAGGAAGGAAACCAAGGCCTGGAGAGGGGTAGTGACGGAGTGCAGGTCACACAGCAGGAAGTAGCCCCGACACTGCAGCATGGCTCCCACCTCCCTCTGTGTGCACCAGCTCTTGTGTGTCCAGCCCAGCCCCTCAGCACCCTGGTCTGGGTGTGTGACTGGGTTCTCCTCCATTTGGGTGGGTGTCTGCAGTAACAGGCTCTTTGTGCTCTGACAGAGATGGTGAAACTAGGCCATGAGCTGATGCTGTGTGCGCTTGATGACCAGGAGCTGGTTAAGGTAAGAAAGGGTTCTGTCTTTCCCCAAAGGGCTGTGCATGCTTTCCAGCCGGGGCCAGAGTCTGCGGTGCTGGTGTGCGTATGGCAGGCTTTCAGCCCTGGTGCTTCTGAAACTCCTGCCAGCGAGGCAAGTCATTTCTCTAGGTAGCCTTAGGGGCAGGGGCATCTAGGTGGCTTTCACGTTTACCAATACGGCCAGTCCTCCAGCCCAGCATGGAGGGCAGTGGTGGAGAAGGAGGCCCCGCGTTGGCTTTTGATGACCAAAGGAGCAGAAAGCGCTCTGCTTTCCTTCCCTGGATGACATTACCCTTGCCCAGCACTGTCATAGGTAGTTCATGGACCCATCGTTGTCGCACCCCCTTGGCAGTCTTAACCCCATGGCAGGGTGCTCACTAGAAGTCGCACAATGGCCAGGCCAGACCTCCAAAGCTGAGCTCTGCAGCAGCACCATGTGTCACCTTTTGAGGGGCCACTGAACTCTTTTCTGAAGTGGGTACACTCTATTCTGTCTTTGGGTCCACCCAGTGAGGGTTTTTGTTCTTTCAAAGGATCTTAAATTTAAAACAATTTTAGGTTCTCAGCAGATTTGAGGCCAAAGTGCAGAGACTTCCCACGTACTTCCTGCCTCCCACCGAGGCACCCCCTCAGGGCTGCATGTGTGTTGTGGCTGACAGGAGACACTGATACATCATTTAACCCTGGCCCCCTCTGGCCTAGCTGAAGTTGCTAGCTGGTTGTTTTCTTTGTGTTTCTCTGCTGATATTTTTTCTATTTTATCTTCTCTTCTGGGTTCATAGTTGTTTATTGGAACATTTTTAGGAGAGCTGCTCTGAAGTCTTTGCTGCGTTTGTGTGATTTTGTCCTTGGCATCTGCTGATGTCTCTTGCTGTGCAAGTTTTATGCTTTGTGGTTGTTTTTCTTCTGTTTTCTTTCTTTTTTTTTTTTTTTTGAGGCAGGGTCTCACTCTGCAGCTCAGGCTGGCCTTGAGCTCGCTTTGTAGCCCAGGCTAGTCTTGAACTTGTAACGACCCTCCTGCCTCAGCCTCCCAAGTGCTGGGATTGCAGGTACGTGCCACCTCATCCAGTTAATGTTTTGTGTTTTTCGTGGGCTAGGTAATTTGGGACTGCTTCCTGGTTACCATGGTCCTCTCAGACTCTGGGCCTTGCTGGCTCATGCGGAGCATGGTGGTGGTGGTGGTTTCTCGTGGCCACTGAACTTACTCTGAGGTTTTGGCGGTGAGCCCAGCTCTCCTGGCCAGCATGTTTCCTGTGCATGTGCTCAGCTGCTTTCAGGCCCTGTGTGTGCACCCCTCAGTGGTCAGCCTGGACCTGGACCTTGGTCTTTCTGTGCATTAGTAACTGACTGGGCCACTTCTGCCCGAACCTGGTAGGGCCGAGTAGTACCTGGGGCTGATCCCAGGCCATCACAGGCAGATCCTCTGGGCCACCTTCCTGAGCTGGTTCTGTCTATCAGCCCTACACTGCCCATATCGTAGCCCCATGCTGTGGCTTCCCAGGCCCCCCAGATGAAGAGGAGGTGCCCCTTCATTAAAGTTGGGCTCCTGTGGTTTTCTCTCCCGGGCTGCTTTTTTGTTTTAGTTTTCATGAGTGTATGCTGTTATCCTGCCTCCTCCGCGGTCTGGGCTCTGAGCAGAGAAGAGGCCAGGGCCTCTCCTCATTCTCTCTGCGCCTTCTCTTCTGTGTTCCTGAAACAGTACTGAGCTCAGGGGTGGACCTGGAGCTTTCTCTGCTTTGTAGCGCTGCCTGCCAGGCTTCTGTCTGGGTTGAGTTTGCTCAGGGCAAACTGGAGGCAGACATACGGCAAGCACCCTGCCAGGCTGGGCGAGTGCTAGGGGCTCTGGTGTGCCCGCCTGCCCACCTGCTGACGTTCGCTGTACTCAGCGCCCCCCGTCCAGCTCTGAGAGCTAGGGCTTCAGTGAGATGGGAGGATGTGTGTGTTTACTGTGGCCCACCTGCAACCGGACCCCTTCTTTACTCTAGTCTTTTTATATTTTTATTGTGCCAAAATGCTTGGAACATAAAACTTAGCATTTCAACTCTCCAAAAAAGTGCCCAGCAGGCTCTGAGAGGCTTTGTATTTATTTAACTGTGATGCATGCAGAAGGTAAAATCCACCCTTGCCATTGTAGCGTGGTCCAGTGCGTGAGCGTGCGCACGCCGTGCTGCCATGCCACCGCCCATCTCCAGGCCTTGTTCATCTCCCCCGGCTGAAACTGTAGTGTCAGTTCAGTGGCATTTAGTATCCTCCCAGTGCTGAGCCAGTGCTGATTATGACTAGTTCCAACACTCTTCCCCCAAAGGAGACCTTGTACCCATCTACCAGCTACTTCTGCCTCCTGTTTCCCATGGACCCTGGTGGCCTTCCTTCACGGGTTGTCCCTGTGTCATCTTAGTGGCGATCTGTCCTCTGTGACCTTGGTGACACTGCCATCTTCCCGCGAGGGAGGAAGGAAGGAGATAAAGATGTTGGAGCGTTAGGTTTGCTCCAGCTCTGTTGTCCTATACTTTAATGGGCATTATCAGTGTGGGACTCCTGTATTTTAATGTGAGCTACATGAATTCATTGTCTAGAACAGGGATACGTGGTTGTAATCAGGCCAGAGGAGGCAATGTACAAGTTGGGCCAGGAGCATCTTGTCCCAGCAGGGAGCAGGGCAGCCATCTGAGACCTAAGGTGACATCTGAAGGACTCCAGAGCCAGCTAGTAGGAGGAACCCTTGGTGGCCAGAGCGGGGGCTCACGTGGACACCACAGAAATGATGGCTGCTGTGGACTGCGGCCCTACATGTGTACTGAAATCTAGGAATTTATAAGGATATTTATTTAGTTTTTCGTAAGGGGATTGAACTCAGGACCTCGTACTTGCCAGGCAGGCACTTATGCCTCAGAGCCCTTATAAGGATATTTAAAAAGTCATCATTTCACACCACAAGGCAAAGCAGCAAAAGGAAAAATAGACCAATTGGACTTTATTAAATTTAGACACTAAGTTGGGCGTGGTAGCGCACACCTATAATCCCAGCACCTGGAAGGCTGAGGCAGGAGGTTCACAAGTAGCCTGGGCAACTTAGTGAGACCCTATCTCGAATTTTTTTTTAGAAAGGGGCTGGGAATGTAGGTCAGTTCACCAGGGTACAATGCCCAGTACTACAGAGAATAAAATAAAAAGAGAAGGAAAGCCGTGTGCATACAGAATTTATACATAAACATCAATAGATGCTTTATCATAATAACCAAAAAGTGGGAATAACCCCGATGACCCTCAACTAGTGAATGGGTGAACTAATTTTTATTATTTATTTTGCATTTTAGGGAAAGGTCTATGGGGTGTTCAGGGTCTCACTACTAGATCAGACTCATAGTAATCCGCCTGTTTACAGCCTCCCAAGAGCTGGGAGTACAGGCACATGCCACTGCGCCCAGTCTTATTGCCATCTCAGCATGCCCCAGGGGTGGGGCTGGCATGGCAGGTCCGGGGATTGAACCCCTGGCCCCTGCTCCTGCTTACAGGCGCTTTAATCTGCTGGGCTATTTGGCCAGCCCTAGTGAACTAATTTTTAACACTCAAGGATGAATAACAGGCGCATGCTGCTGTGTGGGCAAGCCCGAGGACGTTAAGCAAGGTGAAAGCAGTGGGCAGAAAGGGTCACAGAGTGTAGGCCTCCTCCTATAGGAAACATCCATGGGTGGCCCATCCACGGAGGCAGGAAGGAGCCGGCTGGTTGCCAGGCCTGGGGGAAGCGACAGTAGGGAGCGGCTGCTCAGGGCGTAGGGATGTCCTGTGACGTGACTGGGCTCTGGCACTGTGCACTTTGCAAGGAGCACCTGTGCAGCCGGACAGAGAGACCGTCTGGAGGACAGCAAGTGGAAAGGCCCTGTGGTGGCACTGCTTGGTGTCTTCTAGAGGCTGCCACTGGGGCTGTGGTCCAAGGAGGAGCAGTCAGGTCAGGGTGGAGAGTGGGTGACTGGGTCATGAGACCCTTTGTGGCATAGGGATGCGCAGGCTGGGGGTGACGGCCACTGAAGAGTTTCAAGTCCTGCAACACCAGCTTCCATTAACGTATGACCGAGGGGGCTGCAGCTGAGGCGTGGGGTTTGGCTGAGGCAGGGCTTGCTGCTGGGCACCCAGCTGTGTGGTACCCAGGCAGGCCTAGCTGCTTGCTCGAGTGCTGGTGCCGAGGGAGAGGTGGGCAGGTTGGGGGCAGGAGAGGGCCTGGAGCAGCCTGGCACAGGTGAGTGCCTCGGTAGGTACCATCATGCCCTGCTTTTCTGGCCCTTTGCTGGGAACAAAAAGGAGACAGAAGGAAGGGGTCTCCAGATGCCCTGCCTGCATGGGGAGCCCTTGGGGTATGGCGTGGTTGGGCCCTAGTGATGCAGAAGGGACCTGGATGTTGAGGCCTGTGGTATTGGAGAACTTGCAAGGGGGTGGCGGGGGTTGCTCGCTAGGGGAGTCGGCCTATGGCTGCAGCCGGGCACTGGGAGCCATCTCTCTGCTGCACAGACAGTGAGCAGAAGTGTCCCAGCCTGGCCCCCGGTCAGAGCTCTGTGAGGTCCCTGGGGAAGTCATTCTTGTGGTCCTGCTTGGGCAGTTCCCAACTTCAGCCTCCAGCTACCCTACAGGTGTGTCCAGGGGCAGATCAGCCAATGGTAGGCTGAGCTCGTGGAGCTGGACCTGGTCCTACAGGTGCAGCTGGGCCTTCAGGGAGTGGCAGAGGTTCAGCTGGGAGACTCAGCACCTCTGGATAAGGCGACATGCTATCCCCGAGTCTTGTCCTGCCCAGGGGCTGCCTGTTCCTTTGGTGCCCCCTTTTGGAGCAAGGGCTTCTCGCGGGGCCTTCTAGAGTTGCTGGTGGTGTCAGCTGAGTGACCTCCCTTCTGTTGTATGCTTCTGAGCAGTCTTGTCCAGGCAGGGCTGATGGAGAGGTGAAGTTGAGAGCTGGCAGAGCTGGTCCTCTAATGCCCCTCCTTACACCGGGCTTCCTGGGGTGGGCATGGCTCCTCAGGTTTTGTTGAATCCTAGGACCAGTGACTTTCTGAAAGGGCTGTCTGGCACTTCTGGCTGGACAGTGACTCATGGGAATCCTACACGCCTTCGGAGAAGTGGGTGGTAGGAGACCGGGTCAGCCCTCTGGAGCCACTGTTTGGAAAACCAGGGGCCTTCCTGACTAGGCTTCTTGTCCCCTGCTGCCTAGGAGGCCACCGCCGGGGCCTGTCATGCTAGCCGGGTGGTCCCTGCCACCCTGGCTGGGCAGGTGATCTGCTAGAGTCAGTCGCCATCAGTCCTTGTGAGCTGTGTTGTGCCTTAGCCGGCCCTGCCATGTACTATACACCCAGCGAAGAAACTGTAGATCCCAAGAGGTGGTCACTGGTGTCATTGTGCCTGCCCAAGGTGGGGGCCCTGCAGCGAGGGCTGGTGGCAGCGGTCCCTAAGCCAGTGGGAGGAAGCTTCTGGGTGGTGATGAGGAGCTGGGGGAGCCAGAGGACCTGCTTGGAGTCTTTCTACAAATGTGCATGGCCTTCCCTGCCCAGGGCTGTGCCAGTGCCCGGAAGCAGCTGCGGTTCATGGGCCAGATGCTTGATGCCATGCAGAGCCTGGCTGCTGGATGTTCCCGCTACTCCAGGTAAAGATCGCAGCGGCCCTCTGGGTACCCTGGACTGGCGGTTCTGTGTCCCATACGTGGAACTGGTGAGGGTATGGGGGTCGGGACACATCGCCAGCTGAGGTCTCACCGTCCCCCTCTGGTGGCAGCAGCCACATGCTGGTCCAGGAGCTAGAGGTACCAGCTGAGAGAGCACACCCTTATCATGTGACCAGGTGGCTGGTGTCCTGTAGCCCCAGGTCATTGGCCAAGGTTCTGGGCTCACAGCACTGGGAGCCTCAGAGAGGACAGACAGCCCAGGCACACTGGAGGAGGGCGAGGGCCTAGGTGCCCCGAGCGGCTCCAAAGCAGGCAAAGGCTGGGAGACATACTGAACAGTAGGGTTCTGGTGCCCCACCTTTCTGCCGGCTCTCCTTTCCCTCTGGGCGCTTCTACCTGGGACCCCACACCTGCAGGGCCAGTGTCCCTGCTGTGATGGTGGGCCTGGGCCTGCATTTGTAGTGTGAAGGAGCATGTCGAGGACACTGTCGAGAAGAATGAGATAATGCTGGCTGAACTCTTCTCTGGCACAAACGTGGACGCACTTCTGAACTCTGAGTTGGAGCTGTGGCCCCTGGACGTGCAACCTGCCCTTGAGGGTCAGAGTGCTGAGTGTGAAGGGTAAGTGTCCAAGAGGGCTGCAGCCCTGCCTGCTCCTGCTTGCTCTTGCCCGCTGCTTGCTGCTAGGGTTAGGGTTAGGGTTGGTGCATGTGGCAGAGAGCTGCTAATGCCCCTTCTTTTCGTGCAGGGCTGGCCCCTTGGCCCAGTTGGAACAAGAAAAGGTGGCAGAACTGGCCAGGCAGCTGCAGGAGGGTGCGGCCAGGCTGTGGGCACTCAGGACCGAGGTGAGACCATTGGCTTCTGGGGTTGTGGGCCTCAGGACCCTTGCCCCCTCTGAGTCCTGGGGTAGGGACGCCCACTGTCCTTGCCTAGTGGGCTGCGAGCCTGTGGGTCCATGTTTCCTGTAATAGGACCCACGAGGCTCTCCTGGGAGAGGGGTCAGCCTGAGCACCACACTTCGTGTGCTGTCACTGGCGGCACTCCCAGTAGCCCTTGGCAGGGCTCTTCTGGGGACAGAGACTTCAGCCTGTGTGTGCATCAGCAAGCAGAAGCCAGGGCTCAGCAGGGCTGACTGTCAGCCTCCTGTCTACAGAGGCTGCTGCTCGGCCTCCCACCTTCTTGCTGGATGTTTTAAAATGAAAAAGTTTTATTAGTGTACATTTGCAAGTCATAGTAGTTAGCTTCATTTAGGGAATTACTGTAGATTCTGTATCATGTCCTGATCGTTTCTGATGTGCTCCACCCTTTTTCACATCTCAAGCAAGCCTGCCCACTGTATAAGGTGTGGGCTGGCCAGGCAGGGAGACCCATCACGGTCCTTGTTGGCTTTGTAGAGCCTGGAGCAATACAAGATCGGGGAGGCTGTAGGTGGTGCCGACACCAGCATGCTGGAGCAGAAGCTGCGCCTGGTCATCTCTGACTTCCACCAGCTGGTCCTGGCCTTCATCCAAGTCTATGACGACGAGCTGGGGGCGTGCTGCCAGCGCCCGGCCCCCGACCTCCACCCATGTGGCCCCGTCATCCAAGCCGTGTACCACACTCTCACTTCCTGTAGCCAAGTAAGGGCTCTCCTGTCCTCTCCTCTCCCTTAGTGCCCTGCCGCCTGTGCCCAGAGCTCACGTCTGCCTGGGGACCCCAGGGACTTGAGACCTGGCATGACTTCAGGTTCTTGGAGCCAGTATGGCATGGCTAGGCTCTGAGCTTTAGGTCTGGGGTCGTCGGGAGCTTGCAGCAGAAAAACCTCATGGCTTGCAGGGAGGTAGGGAGGCAGCAGCAGGGAGGAGGACTGATGGAGATGCTGTCCCCAAGAGATCACTGTGGGGTGTCAGCTGAGCCCAGGCCCTAGAGAGCTGTGCGCTGCCTGTCTTGGGTCCTGCCTGTCCCAGCTGCACTCCTCGTCCTGGCTTCCAGCGCATGTCCTTACATTGGCCTTGCTTTGTTTGCGCGCCACGCTCAAGCGCACCACTCCCTGTCCTGCATGTGGCTGAGTGCTGTGGCAGACACGAAGCCCCATTCTGTGGGTCTGTGCCTGCGAGCCAGGCTCGGTGCGACAGGCTAAGCCAGTAAGTAAGTGTTTGCTTACTTTGTTGTTCTTCAAGTAGGATCCTGGGGCCAGCCAGGTCTGCTTAGGATCGCTGCATGGCATGGGTACATCCTGACATTGGCTCAAAGGCTCTTGAACGCTGGCTTTTGCATTTTAATCAGAAAGGCTCTGAGACAACCCAAGCTCAGGCCAGCCTGTCTGTGACACTCACCCAACAAGGGCAATTATGGCATGATCCTCTCTCCCAGCACAGAGGCCTTTTTACTTTGTACATTATTGTCTGTCCTGTCATTTGCTTGGCTTGGGCTGTGACAACACACAGTGCTGCCATGTCAGTGGGCACTGAGGGCTGCAGAGAGATGTACTAGTGCAGCATCTCCAGCGGCCTGGATGAGGAAGACTGGAGTTGTGTTGGCGATGCTTCTGCTGCGCATTCGGCCCCTCGCCTGTGGCTGTGAGGAGACAAATGCCATGTGCTCGGCATGAGGTCGCGTACGAAGCAGGAAGGGCCGCCTGCAGGTAAGTGCCACACATGCCCTCCCTCCCTGTCAGCTGTTGCAAGCAGTTGTGGAAGTCACGGACGCCTCTGGGGAGGCCGTGGATGCGGCGGCGCGGCAGGAGAACGAGCCGATCTGTTGGGACAGCAGCAGCTCCATGACGAGCCTAGGTGCGTGGTGGCAGCAGGTGTCCCGACGCCTCGAAGCGCGGTGCCCTCTTGACTGCCCTCTCTTCCTATGCCTCACTGGCCCTTGGGGAGCATTTGGGGACTGGTCCCTCGGGTATTCTTTCCCTCTCCTGAAAAAATGCTTTTAATGGGTTCTAAAAGTGAAACATCCCTGGTAGGAAGTTAGGGTGATGGAGAGATTTGCAGAAGTGAGCACAAAAGCGGCCCCACCCCAGCAGCCCAGAGGCGGTGGCGTTGGTGCAGTGGGCTCTTCCTGCTGGTGCTCCTCTCGCCGTCCTTTATTTCCAAGTGGCATCATAGCACACTGCCCCGGTGTGCTTCCCCGTAGGCTCACCGACAGCATTCCCAGGGCCCCAGTGACACGTTTCACTGTCGGGCACTTTGCTCTCTAGGCATGTGCTGCAGCTTGCTTTAGAGTTCCATTGCTGAATCTATAGCTCATCCTGTGTTTTACTGTTAGATACTGGTATGGTTTAGGTCTAGAATGTTCCCCAAAAGGCTCCTGGTCCAGAGGGAGGGCTTTGCAAAGGTCGCTGGTGGGGTGGGGGGCTGTACCCCGTCTGAGGACTGATCTTGGGTGGGTTCAGGGCTGAGTGTGCTCCTGGGGTCTGTCATCTGGCTGGAATGGGCGGTCCACTGGGAGTGTGCGCTCTGTGTGTTTCCCCCCACGGCCCCCACCTCCTCGTTTCCCGGCCCCCTCGGGAGCAGCTGTCTTCCTGTGGGCCCTCCAGCCAACGTGGACTGGAAATGTGAACCAAATCCTCCTTTAAGTTGTGGGTGCTGGCTGTTTTGTCCCAGTGACAGGAAAGTGACCAAGACATGCGTAATACCCTTCAGGGTTTATAATAGTGAAAATGTAGAAATGACTTAACTCCTGCCTGAGCAGTACTCAGTACACTACTGAGTAAGTAGTGGCTTAGCATGGTGGAGTAGCAGTCACTGTTGAAAGAGTGGGCTAGGATCACATACTTGCAAACATTAGAGGGAAAATGTGGGTTAAGAAATGAAAGGTACAGTATGACCTCACCTTTCTGAGGAAGAAAAATGGGGCTGAAGCCTTGGAAGGAGAGAAGCCAGCCTGAGAAGTTGGGTGCTCTCTGTGTTGGGGTCCGAGGTGGCTGGGTGTATTCTTTAGCCTTCTCTCTGGTCTTCAGAGAAAGTTCTGAGAGTTCAGCAGGGCGCACGTTTGCTTTGGCTGTTTTTGCCCTTGACAGAAGGACACAGTGGACATGCTTGGGCATAGCGTGTTTTCCTCATTTCGGACTCCAGCCTCGACACGTAGCCCCTCGTGTTAGTGAGGCCAGGTGATTCGGCCGCATGATCGCCTCTTATTTAGCGGCTCTGGACTTGATCTTTTCCACATTCCTGCTGTTGCACTGAGGCATAATTATTTTTGAACTGGCTTTTAACCAAACTTTCTCCTGTCCTCTTTAATTGTGGAGATGTACATTTTCAAAGTTCGTTCTTTTTGAAGAAAAATAGTGTTTGGAGAGAGCACTGACTGCTCAGGCTCTGGGGCCAGCGGCTTTGGATGGCTCCCCGAGCTGGGTGAAACCCTTTCCTTCCAAACAGAGGCCTTCGCAGTGGCTGTGTGGGTGCCCACAGCCCAGACGGGGGAGGAGCGCAGCCCCCGGGCGCCCCTCCTGCTCGCGCACTTCCTGCTACGTCTCTGCCGTCCCAGCTTGATGACCCTTATTTCTTTTTGAGCTTTCTGTGCTCTGTTTATAACTGGGGCATTCTGTCAGCCAGCTTTTCCGGCCAAGGATGAGGCAGTCAGTATTTTCAGCCTGAGGGCCGTGAGGTGTCCATGGCAGTACGCAGCGCCCCTGTGGTCATGGGAGAGGAGCCTCAGGAATGTGAGCAAGTGTGCGCAGCTGTGTTTTGGAACATTTCTCTTACAAACCAGGCGATGGGTATCTGTCATGTGTCATGCTCCACCACCGCCCTTTACCATGCTGTCTTTCTGTGCTGCTCTACCCGGATGTGCGGGTGGTCAGCAAGGACATTGCCGCGAGCATGCTGGCCACCACCCCACGCGCACGAGCCAGTCTCCAGTGTGGGCTAGGAGGCAGCCCATCGCAACGCGTCCTCCGTGCCCCGTGTCCGGGTCTGCCTTTCTCGTGTGTGCCTATTTGGTAGGTCTAAAAAGGCATTTCACTCCATCTTTGCATCTGTCTCGTTTCTAACAGGTACGGGTTTGGGCACAGTCCCTGCCCATAGCAGTGTTCTCTTTCACAGAGTGCCTGTTTGAGTGTCTTGTTTTTTTGGATTGGTTCATCTTACCTCACAGATGCCCAACCCTGTTTATATTCTACATATGAGTCCTCACATGTTTTGTTTTTCCATCTCTAAAGACCTTTTATGTGGTGTTTTTATACATAGTAGATCTTAATTTAAGTGTAGACTTTCCTACTCCAGTATACGGCGTCCCAAACTCCTTAGAGCATCACGGCCTGCAGTTGGGTCAGTAATCTTTCCAGAGTTGATTTTTTTTTTTTTATGTATTTGGTACAGGGTCTGCAGGGTCTACAGGGTCTCACTATGTAGATTTGATTCATAGTGATTCTCCTGTTTTCAGCCTCCCAAGCGCTGGGATTTCAGGTGTGTGCCACCACACCCAGTCTCAATCGTCATGTCAGTGTGCCCTGGGGGGGCCTGCATGACAAGCTGGGGATCAAACCCCAGCTGCTGCACTCTGCCTAAGCAGGCGCTTTAGTCCACTGAGCTATCTGGCCGGCCTCCAGAGTTGATTTTTGGGTGTGGTGTGGTGTGAGGTGGGGTGGGGATGGGGGGTGGTCCAACTTCAGTTTTTCCTACATGGATACCCAGTGTCCCAGCATCATTTGATGGAAATTTACTCTTTTCCCCATCAGTTTAAAATCCTACCACCACCTCTGTAAGTATGCATATGGGTTCTCAGGGCTCTTTTTTTTTTTGGTGGGACCAGGGATTGAACTCAGGCCCTTGTGCTTGCCAGAGAAGCACTTATTTCACTGAGCCATCTCCCCAGCCCCCTCTTTTCTTTTTTTGAGTCAGATTCTCACTATGCAGTTCTGGCTGGCCTTGTGTTCACTTTTTCATCCCGGCTAGGCTCGAACTCACAACGATCCTCCTGCCTCGGCCTCCTGGGTGCTGGGATGACAGGCGTGCGCCACCACGCCTGGCTTGGTCTCATGGTGCTCTATGCTATTTCTCTATGCTACTTTGGCAGCTAGAACTTAAGTGGCAGAATAAGCTTGAAGAAGGAAGGTAAAGGGAGTTTCATTACCTTGTTCTTCTCTTCTTATCTCCGTCTCTTCTTTCTCTTGTTAGAAATTGAGCCCAGGGCTCACTAGGCCCTGGCTCTACCGCAGAGCCACACCCCAGCCCTGTTTTTAGTAATAGTTTTACTGAGCTATAATTCACATACCATAAATTCACCCTTTTAAAAGTGTGCAGTCCAGTTTGTTCGGCTACTGGCAGAGTTGTACAACCTTCACTAAGTCCACAATATTTTCATCACCTTAAAAGGAAATCCTGCTCCATTAGCAGTCGTTCCCCATCCCTCCGGCCCCAACCCCTTCTGGACATCCTATAAATAGACATGTAAAGTATGCGGCCTTTTGTGGCTGGACCCTTTACTGAGCATGCTACTTTCAGGGCTTATTCACATCGTGCATGCCACTTCATGGCTGAGCAATTTCCCACTGTGTGGAGCTTTGTCCATTGTGCGTCATCCCTTGGTGGGCAGGTGAGCTGTTTGTGTTGGCCATGACTAATGCTGCTCTGAGCATAGCGTATAGGTCTGCATGGAAATGTTCTCACTCCTCGGGTCCATACCTAGGACAATCGCTGGCATGCAGGATGACTTCATACTTTACTTCCCAGGGGACTGTAAACCTGTTATCCATTCTGCCAGTGTTTACCTTTGATAGGGTTTTAAAATTATTTTGCATTTAATGTAGTTACTGATGAGATAGAATTTTTTTTAAAATTTTATTTATGTGTGTGTGTGTGTGTGTGTGTGTGGCCAGCTCAGCCCACCAGGGGGCGGACTGGCTGGCATGTGGTGCTGGGGGATTGAACCGTGGTCCCTGTGCTTTGCTAAGCTTGTTCTAAGTAGGTGCTTTAGCCACTGAGCCATCTCACCGGCCCCTGATGAAACAGAATTTACATTTGCCATTTTGCTTTTTGTTTTCTGTACTTCTTAAATCTTATTTAATCCTCTTTCTCTATTACTGTTTTAGCATTACATATTTTCTAGCATACCTTATTTATTTATTTATTTATTTATTTATTTATTTATTTTTTTGTACTGGGAGTCGAACTCATGACCTTGCGCTTGCCAGGCAGGTGCTTATGCCACTGAGCTCTCTCCCTGGCCTTAGCATTCTGTTTAACCACTTAGCAGTCAACAGTTTATTTAGATCAAAGGCCATTACCAAGGGGGAGAGCGGGCGGGTTTTAGACAGGAAATGAGGTCAGGGTGAGAGAGTAGGTTTTTCCAGAGGCCCCAGATCATGTAGCACTATGCAGACCCTTGGGAAGCACCTGTATTGGGTTTCAAATTCTGTTCCTGGCTGCACTTTGACAAGGCCCCTTCCTCAGGCCTTTGGGGTTAGCGGAGACCATGGTGAGGAGGTCCACACACACTGTGCGGGCAGGCAGACCCCATGTGGGCAGCAGCGAGTGGGACTCCACTGAGGGCTTCACTGCTGTTGCCTGGCAGAGGAGATTTTTGTTTTAAAATATTTATTGAGCAGAATGAGAGAAAAGGAGTTAAAAGATGAAACAGATGCTGAATGAACAGTTTTCTTGTGAGTTCTGGTCGACTTCGGAACTTAATGCGTGTGCCTGAGCTTTGGTTCTCCCGTTGAACCCCATGGAGTGGTCTTCCGTTCTGTCTGCTGCCCAGCACAATGGTGGCCCTGCTGCTGAGCCCCGGCTGGTCACACTGGTGCCGGAGCTCTTCCTTTGCTTTCTGAAGCTCATCTGCTTTCTTAAGTTCATTTTTCTTGTAAAGCAATTATCTTTTCATATTCTTTTAGTTCTTCTGTGAAGACCTGCTGCTGAGTCAATGTCTCCCAGCTATTTGGCTCCAAGAATTTCTTATTTGTGTAGCTTCAAAAATTCTCCCAGAATCACTAGTCAGTCTTGATTTGTAAAAGCCTCATTTAGATTAACATATCTAAACGTGTGGATTCAAACTTGTCTGGATTCATGTGGTTTAGGTGACCAAATTATGTAGAGGAGCTTGGTGGTCCATGCCTAATCTCTTTTATTTGTACATTAAACTTTATTGGTACATTTTGGACGTGTATAACAATCACATTCATCATGGAGAATTTGTCTTGTATCTTGAAGGGAATCCAACTGAGCTTTAGCAAGCATTCTTAGCCTTCCAACTTCTTGCCTTTTCAGTCCATCAGGTTTCTATACTCTTCTCTGAAATGTTTCCAGCACGTCAGTAACTTGCTTGAGATACTCATCATAATACAGTCCAGTATCTGGCGGTTCTAGCTTTGTACTTTTCTCTTGTCTGTGTCTCTAAGCGCAGTTTGAGGAGCAGAAGTAGCCGTGTGGCCCAGAGGAAGGCGTACCGTGCTAGAGTGGGCCTCCATCTCATTCCCCAGCGTCAGGACGACTGAGCTTGGGCTCTGCTTTATCACTTACTTCTCCACACTGATAAAGAATTTTTATCTTGTTTTTTACAGATGAGGCAACCGAGGGCCAGGGAGGTAGGATGACTTGCACAAGAGCCAGTCAGTAGTTACTCTTGGCTCCCAGGCTGGCGCTTCTTTCATGAAATACAGACCCTTAGGTTCTGGGGAGCGCAGAGGAGGGGAGCACAGCAGAGGCTGTACCCTTAGAAGCTGGGGGGCCAAGGAGAGGGCGGAGACTGGGATGAGAAACAGAGGCTCACCCTGCTAGACGTCCGATATGCCCAGTTGTGTTCCTTGAAGTTAGGAGTGAATTCTATGGGCTGACAGCAGTTAAGTGAGAGTGGGCAAATTCACTGGGAAGGGAACGGGCAATGGACTAGTCCTGAGAGACAGGAGGGGTCCCAAATGGGCTGCCTCCACTTTGGTTTTATGGGTCGTCCGGCCTGATCTTGAACTCACCATGTAGTCCAGGCCGGCTTTGAACTCGCAGCAGTCTGCTTGCCTTGGCCTCCTGAGCACTGGAATGTGAGGCATGCGCCATCACCCCTGGCCAGAGGAGGGCTTCAACTGGAATTCCTGTGAAGGGCTTAAAAGTTTTTCCTTAGTCTTTAGTACACAGTGACTGCGTTCTTTGTGGGGAGTTGTACCTGCACATGCTGCATCTTCATTCTTTCTGTGTCCCTTCCCCTCCCTCTGTCCATCGGTCATCTTTACTTTTGCAAGAGATCTTATCTCCCAGTTGTCCATTGTGTACCCTTCATTTTGCTCTTCGGATGGTCTGTACTTTGGCTTCCTCCTTAAGAGAAGTCATGTGATATTTAAGCTTTGGTGTCTGATTTCTCTCACGCACCATTACAGTCTCAGGGTGTACACGTTTTCGTGCATAGGACACAGGCGTGGCCTTCCTAGTTGGCAGAGTGTCGTGAGCAGTCCACATTTCTCTAGCTGTTTATCTGTCCATGGACATGTGGCTGCTTCCCTGTCTGAGCAGAGAAAGGGTTTTACCCCCTTGCCTTGCCAGTGGGTGCCCTCCGTGAGGTGGACGGGAGTGGAAGGTGGGAGTCGGGAGCATGGGGGAGCTTCCGTGCCAGGGAGCAGTGGGGGCCGGTGTGCTTAGGGTGGGGTCTGGCAGCTAGGTGTTCGGGGGAGAACTGTGGCTTGCTGTTGTGTGAAGAACATGATGCGCACAGGTACCTCTTGGCCTCAGAGGGCCCCTTCAGCAACGGCTCTTGCCACCCGGGGCGGGTGGCTGCTCTCGTAAGAATGCAGAGAGGAGATGAGAGTGGAAGCAGAGCGCCAGGCAGCACTCACTCTCCCGGGCCTGAGGGAAGGGAGGTGCTGCACCCACACAGCTGACTTGTGCCAGGCCCTGCTTTCTGGTCCAGAGCATGTTGGAGCCCTAAAGACGTCAATGCAGACCCAGCCTGCTACCACCAGGAGTGGGGCTGAAGCTTGGAGAGAGGAAGCCGTGCTCAGGCTCAGGGGCAGCCCTGGTGGAAGCGCCTCGGGGGCTCTGGGGCTGGGTGGGGTCTCGGAGCCTTGGCCCCACGGAACAGGGGCACCTTGGGATTTGATAAAGGGGGAGCGCTGTCTGCTCCCTGGACACCCCTGGCAGCGCCCATGGTGGGAGAGCTGGTTCCTAACGGCACCCACTCGGGCCTTGCTGTGGGGCACACCCCGTGAGTGCCAAGCTCCGTAGCCATGCTCAGTGTAGGCAGGGGCTGACGACTTAGGGCCCTGAGTGCAGCTCTGGTCCGTGGCCATGTCTTCACCTGGGGCTGGAGGGGGGGAGGGGACAGGTAGGATGAGTAAGGACAAGGTGGGAGGGGCAAGTGTGACAAGTTAGGGAACTTGTGCGGAGGGCTGTGTCATGGTGATGTTACCGTGTGATTTGGATAGAACCCATTGTCCAGATCAGGATAGCCACTGGCTCCTGGAGTGGTGGGGGGTGTGGCGCGGCCCAGCCTGCACTTCGATGCTGTGCTGTGGTCCATGGGACCACCTGGGACACAAGGCAGCTCCCCGAGGGGCGCAGTGGACATTGGGTGTCAGGTTCTGAGCTCCTCAAGGGCCAGGTCAGATGCTTTGTGCCATCATCCCTGAGGGGACCCAGCATAATGCTCCATCTCGCCTGGCCCAGAAGTTCTTATCTTACTTGGCTTTTATGTTTTTCTTTCCTTTGCAGCCACCAAAATAGAAGAACTAACACAGAAATACCAGGTCTTCAACGACAGCCTGCAGGAGGGCATGGGATAGTGTGGGGCTGCAGCCTTCAGCTCCTGGGGGCGGGGTGGGTGGGTGGGAGGGACAGGAAACCTCAACGTCCACCAATAAGTACCCCCTTGCCTACTCTTTGCTTCTGTCATTCTGTGTCACCCTCTTCCCATCCAGCCTGAGCTGCATGGTCTCCTTTTTGTCCCAAGTGGTCCAGGTTCCCTCTGCCTGTCTCCCACTCCTTCCCACAGCCATTCAGTGGTTTAGCATGTCCTGCTTACCCTACCTAGCCATACCCTGAGGTGACCCTCCCTGCCCTTGTGGCCTCAGGGTCCCAGGGCACACTCCTAGCAGCCCTGTGTCCGGGAGCTGGCCTGTCCTCCCACCTGGCCAGGTGTTCAGCACCTGCTCGGGAATTCTTGATGTGGCCTGACTGGTTGTCCCGGAAGCTGCTCCCTGGGCTTCCTGGGTGACCCAGTATCTCCCTGAGCAGTGTACCTGTCACCGCCACCTCCCTCCCTTGGAGCCTGGGAACAGGCAGGACAGGCAGGGCCCCGCCCTTTCTTGCTTCCCCAAGTTTCCTGTGGGTGCTCAAGGCCAGGAGGCCCCCTGGCAGTCACCAACGTTCAGGTGAGCTAGTGTTGTGCGAGGCCTATAAGGGCCGCGGTGCCCCTGCTGCCAAGAACTGCCACCTTGGGCCCAGAACGAGATCCCCGGGGTACCACACACCTTCTGGACTGAGACTGGCCCCGTGGCCTCCCTCTATCTTGATGGTGCCCTTCACCCAGAGCCAGGTGGGCAGGGAAAGCCTGAGAGGGTCACCCTTGCTCCTGGGCTCCCAGGCTTCCCAGCTGGCCCATGTCGCCAGCCCTCCTGCTTTCACCATAGATTCTGTCACGTGCCTCTCAGATGTCTCGGGCTTGAAGCAGATGCATCTCTTCCTAGTGGGAGATGGGCCCACTGCTGGGCAACATACATTCCAGGCTCGGTGAAACTGAGGGTTTGTCCTTGGCGCAGCCCTTCCCCTGCATAGGCTGCTGCAGCCTGCTACCACCGCGCTTGCAGGGCTGGGGGGAAACCAATGGGGTGATGTCCCAGCGTGGAGCCTGGGTCCACTAGGCCTTTGCGGGGCCCAGCTTCCTCGTGCCTGTGAGGACACGTTCCTCCTGCCATCAGCAGCCTGCATATGTGGAGCCTGCTTCCTTATGTGTAAACACGGGCGTGTGTCGTGGTGGTGGTGCGCTGCGAGGGGGCGGCGAACGAGCCGGCCGCGCAGGTCCTGCGGCCTCAGGCCCCCGGTTGCCCAACACGCGCCGGGGGCGGGCCGCAGTCGTTGATTAAAGGCCGCCTGGAGCAGCCTGTGCAGAGGCAGGTGCCAGCAGCCGGCAGCTCAGGACGCCAGCCAGCTCCTGCCCCAGGTAAGTCAGCAGCGTGGGGGGGTTGGCGAAGCCAGCCCCAGGCTCCAAAATGGGTAGAAAGCAGCTGGGGTAGCGCTTCTCTGCCAGTGAGGCCAGCCAATTGCCAGGCTTTCCAGAGCCCACCCAGGGCCCGATGCTGCTGGGGGCTGCCTGCTTTCTCAGAACTCTACCGGGCCCTGTGCTGGCCACAGGCCTGGTGGGGAAAGGTGAGGGCTCTGGGCCTGATCTCATCACAGCTGGCCTGCCTTCTGTTCCTTGCTGTGTGGCAGGAGTGGGGTTGAGGGACAGAGAGGAGGGGCAGCGGGGCCCTAGAAGGCCCATCATGGACAGAAGGGACAGCAGTAGGCCCTGGCCCCTGATCCCCATGCTGTAGAGGCAAAGGCTGCACAGGGTGGGGCAGGGGCCAGCGGGTCCATGTCTCTTCAGCCTCTTGCTTGCCCCGGCAGCTTCAGGCCTCATCTCTCCTGGGAGAAGACCACCATGTCTGAGCTGCCCCGGGCCGAGACCTTTGTCTTTCTGGACCTGGAAGCCACTGGGCTCCCCAACACAGACCCAGAGATTGCAGAGATCTCCCTTTTTGCCGTGCACCGCTCGTCCCTGGAGAATCCAGAACGTGGCGAGTCTGGAGCCCCCATGCTCCCCCGCATCCTGGACAAGCTCACACTGTGCATGAGCCCACAGCGGCCCTTCACTGCCAAGGCCAGCGAGATCACCGGCCTGAGCAGCGAAGGCCTGGCGCAGTGCCGGAAGGCTGGCTTTGATGGTGCCGTGGTGCGGAGCCTGCAGGCCTTCCTGAGCCGCCAGGAGGGCCCTATCTGCCTAGTGGCCCACAACGGCTTCGATTACGACTTCCCCCTGCTATGCACGGAGCTGCAGCGCCTGGGTGCCCACCTCCCCCAGGACACTGTCTGCCTGGACACGCTGCCAGCACTGCGGGGCCTGGACCGTGCCCATAGCCACAGCACCCGGGCTCAGGGCCGCAAGGGCTACAGCCTGGGCAGCCTGTTCCACCGCTACTTCGGGGCTGAGCCGAGCGCTGCACACTCTGCTGAGGGCGACGTACACACGCTGCTGCTCGTCTTCCTCCACCGTGCCGCTGAGCTGCTTGCCTGGGCTGATGAGCAGGCCCGCAGCTGGGCGCACATTGAGCCCATGTACACACCGCCCGACGGCCCACATGCTGAGGCCTGAGCGTGTGCTTGGCTGCTTGCTTGCTCACCTGGCCCTGCTCAGTCCTGCAGCCAGCACAGACTGCAACCGTGCTGCACCTCTGCCCGGCCCTGCCCAGTGCAGAACCCTGGGCCCATGCGCCTGCCCGGCCGCTGGCCTGCCCTACCTCTGGACAGCTTGTGAGCCTAGCAGTCTGTTCTTTCCAGCTCCCTCCCTCCCTGTTTCTCAATAAATATCACCTATTTCTCAGCAGCTGACTCACTGGCCAGACTCTTGGAGGCAGAGAGCTACGTTGCACAGGAGTGGAGGCCCCCATCACCCCACTGTGGCCTACTCCTGTGGATTTGGGAGTGGGGAGATGGCAGTGCTACGCGGCTGCTCCAAGGGGTGGTGGGCTAGGGCTCTAGACCCTCAGCAACCCACCAGCTGCCCTCTGCCTGGCTGGTCCCTTACTGGCACCTTGAGTACCAGCCTCTAGGCTTGTTGCCCCAGAACCCCAAGAAATGGATGAGCAGCAGTGAGGGGAGCTGGGTCTGCAGGGCTGTTACCTGCCCGGGTGCAATGCCCATTGGGGGCCCACCTGGCACCCCTGTCCCTGCTCTGTGAAGTGGCAGTTGACAGAGTGCTGGGAAGAAGGCTCCTGGTACCCTCTCACAGGTGTAAGGCATGTAGCAGGCACTGACCTGAGGCCCTAGGAAAAGTAGGAATGTGCCTGGGGGCTGTGACCCTTGTGGTGTGCCCCTGGAGGGCTGGAGGGCTCCGTGGAGAAGCCAGCCACCTCGCTGGGTTTCTAGTTGCCGGGAACCTGCCTCAGGGTCCACCCTGAGGTATTTTTGTCTCTTGGGGCCGCCTGTGCCACCAAATGCTGGGGCAGGTAAGGGGTGGGGTGGCCATGTCCAAGTGACTCACTCAAGCAAAGTCTCCAGCCTTGTGCCAGCCAGGCCCGTTCAGGGAACCTGAAGTAGGTCACAGTGACTAGGGCTGCTGCAAGTGTGAGGTGTCAGGATGACAAGGCATGGCCGCGTCAGACCATCCTGGGCTAGGGGAGGGATCCAAAGGCCATCCTGGTTAGCAACAGGCTATGACCTGCCTCCTGGCGAAGGTGGAGGTTGCTTTCCATCTACCTTGGACCCGTTGGCTTTCCAGGAACTTGTTGCAAGTGGAACTGTGTGCTTGCACGGGGGCTGCCCCGTGGGCAACTTGTATGTCATGCACAAATGTGGCTCTCCTTGCTTGCCTTGATGTGTCAGGTAGAAGCAGTGACAAGCTCTGCATTACAACCTGGCCCCTTCATGGTGCCCTAAGTCTGCCTGGGTCGCCATCATTTCTGCTGTTGTTTGCTTACGCCTGGGCAGCCCACACAGGACTCAAGCCAGCTGCATAGCTCTTTTACCTCGGTGGACTCAAGTTGCCAACCCATGTGGCCAGAGGTGACCTCAGCGGGAGATCCAAGATCCCCAGATGTGTGCCAATCCACAGTAACAGTGCGCGTGGTCAGTGAAGGTGGGACGGCTTGGACTTTGTCCTTTTTAAAATTGTTCCGTGTGGTGCACGTTTGCAGCATGAGGACCGCCCTCTGCACAGGGAGTTGGGACACGAGCGTGTCGACTCTTAAGTGTTCTCCCACTTCCCGCCTGTCTAGGTCCTCTTGTACAAGCTGTAGCTCCTTGTTTCCTGTTCTCTAGCTTTTATTTTGCTCTTTATCTTATGCGGGTATCTCATATAAGAAACCACGCAGTATTAAAGCTCATGTGTCTGATTTGTCTCACGTAGCAACACGATCTCAAGGCGCGTCCATTTTCCTACAGATGACTCAAGGTTACCCTTCTTTATGGCAGGGTAGTAGTACTCCATGGTGTGTAAATTCCAATTGTCATCCATGTTTCCTTCATTGTAAATATAATGCGTATAATTTAATTTTTAGTAAGTAGTAGTTTTCGCCCATCAGTTCTAAACATTCCCAGATGTTTGTCATCTCAGAATCACTAACACAACAATAAGGGAAAAGCCAGACCATCGTAGTAGTGCTAGAAGGTGAGAGCCTGGAAGGTGGAGCAATGTGCACAGAGGTGGGCTGTGCACCACCCATGCCACCCCGAGCTCCCCCTCTCAGGGTCCACCCAAGACAAGGGCTTGTGTGACCACATGGGCTGACCCAGGAATGCTTGCCACAGTGAAGCAGCCTGTGGCACATGTGTGCCAGGGCGACTGGCCTGGTGCACCTAGCCCTGGAGCTCCAGCTTGCCTCTGGCCACCCACCTGCCCCTGGCCGAGCCATGTCATTGATGGATATCACCGTGATCACAGGAGCGTCCCTGGGAGACATGTAACACCAGATGCTTGCCAACAGGACAATCTACAGGGTGAGAAACACTGAAATTGAAGGGCTGCGGGCATATCTGGCTTGTCCTTGCACAGGAGACTGTGTGGGACATGCTGTGCAGAAGTCCAGGGCTGCCCTCCACGCCTGTCACCGCGGGGAGACCTGGCGCCACTTGAGACCAAGGCCTTCCATCATGGGAGCAGGGGTTCCTGGGGGACTCCTCGTCCTCTCACACACATGCACACAGCACATTCAGACTGTAGTAGTTCTTTGGGTGTTACTTTACTGTTCTTTCCCTTCTTTGCCTTCCTTCCTTTGTCCTTTCTGCTTTTTCTTTCCTTCCTTCTTCCTCCTTCTCTCCCTCCCTCCCTTTCATCCCTCCATCCTTCCTTCCTTTGTTAGGGTGGGGATTGAACTCAGCCTGCACTTACTGTGCCTTGCTTTGCCTCCCCCACCCCTTTTTGGTGTGTTTTCGACACAGGGCCTTGCCATGCAGCCCAGGCTGGCGTTGAACTTGCCAGCCTCCTGTCTTAGTCTTCCGAGTGCTGGGAGACCAATGTGCCCCAGAACAACTGGCTTCGTTTGCCTTTGAGTCCCTGGAACATTTGCATCTCCTGAGGAGTTCTCCTGGGGCAAGGACCTGGGAAGTCCCGGTCTAAAGAAAATGCCATAGGCTGTATGGTAGGAAAGTAAGCGAGACATGGAAAGTTAAGCATGACATAATTTTCCTTATGTGAGAAAGCAAAAATACAAATAAAGCAAAGCAGAGATGGCAGGAAAAAGGTGACATTTTGGACCTGCAAAAGGGGCTGGGGGGTAGGGGAAGGAGGGAGGCAGAGGCTCAGAAATGGTTACGATATGTTACAGGTACATACGTGCACCGTCCCTGCATGCATGTGATTAGTAGACCCCATCAAAAGAACCACTGCACGTCGGGGGGTCCCAGCTCAAGGGGCCAGCAAGCGTGCTCCTCCTCATCTGCGGCCCTTCCTGCTGTGCCTGCGCCGGCGTGTGGCAGAGCGCACGTATTCAGAATCAGTGTTGTTTGCAAACTGTGTGAAGTTCCTGGGGCCATTCTGTTGTGTTCATTCTCATACGCCAGCTTTATTAGATTACGGAGCAGCTGCCAACTAGAAAGCATGCTCCTGGGGGCCTGGGGGGCCTGGGGGCCAGGGGGGTGGGACCTCAGGGTCTGTGTCCAACCTCACCCCTGCCTCTCTGGCTATGCTTCCCTGTCCCTCTTCCTGCTAGGCAGCAGCGCTGGGCAGAGCTGCCCCACCCACCCTCCTGCCATGCTTTTCCTGTATGTAGTTCTAAAATATAGTTTGACAGTTGTACAACTGTTCAGTTTCTTTATATACATTTTCTTGCTTTTCAAAAGCTATGACATCTGTTCAATTCTACAGTAATCTAGAAAATTCTTTTTTAATTACAATTTATCAAGGTCGTCACATCTAGTAGCTTTTTTGCACTTAATTGCTGTATGTTTGTGTTCACTGCTTTAGGACAGGATTGATCAGGATTCCAGTAACATTTGTCCAGCATGAGCATTTTTTGGTATCATACTCAGATTGAACTGAAAGCATCAACACTGAGCTGCATCCCCACTACCAGCCCTATTTTATTTTTTATTTTTGAGACAGGGCCCTGCCAAGTTGCCCTACCTCGGCTTGAATTTCTTGTGCTCTTCCTGGCCCTGCCTCCAGGGGTGCTGGGAATACGGCTCTCCACCAGCATGGCTGACTGTGTGGTTTATTTCTGCATTGAGGATTGCACCTGTGGCTTCACATGTGTTCGGCAAGCGCCCTACCACTCAGCTACATCCCTAGCCCTTTTCATTTTGAAACAATGTCTTACTAAATTGCTGGGGTTGGCCTGGTAATTGCCACTTTCCTACCTGAGCTGGGACCCCGGGCAACATGCTCATGTGTGAGGAGATCTTGAGGCACTGGCTCATGGGCTGTGGAGGCTGCAGGGTGGTCTGGGAGGCCAGAGACCAAGGGAAGGATGGCAGTCCAGGTCCAGAAGGTCCCTGGAGCAGAACTCTTCAGTCTTTTCTTTGTAAGGCCTTCAACTGATTGGACGAGGTCTACCCTACTCTGAAGAGAAATCTACTTTGCTGAAGAGCTACTGGTTGGAGTGTTTATCTCCTGTGCAAATCAGTTCACAGCCACGCTAGACCACGTCTGCCTGAAAACAGTGCTTTCGCCTGGCCGAGATGATTCGATGATGGAGCCTACAGTCTTTGGCGTCGGACTCTTTTCTCCGGGCAGAGCACTCCCTCGTGTGGAGCAGGCCTCGCAGCAAGCCCTGCCTGCCGCACTGCCACTGCCAAGCCCCGGTGCAGAGTGAACTGCATGCTTTGGCAAAGCATGCCTCTCTGCTTGTGGTGAGTGGTTGTTTGTTTGCATTTCAGTTCTGGCCGTCCTTCCTCTGCTGGGTGTGCTGGTGGACTGGACCCTTCCCCACCTCCTGGCCTCCAGAGTGCGCAGGGGAGCTGCCCCTTGGACCACTTTAGGCTGTGGCTTGTTCTCTCTGGGACTTTTTGTTTGAGACAGGGTCTCGCTATGCCGCTCGGGCTGGCCTTAAGCTTTCTATGTAGTCTAGGCTGGCCTCAATCTCACAAAGCTCTCCTGTCTCAGCCTCCCAAGTACTAGAATGAACCAAGCCTGCTTGGTTCTTTTTGTTTGGAAGTTTCTAAGATGTGCATTCATGTCCGAGGAGCTCAGGAATGTTTCCTAGCCAAGGCCTGGTTTGGCAATGATCTGACCCTGACCCTCTTGTTTGCCTACCTGTTGGCCTATCCTTCACTTGTCTTGCCTCCCACTGTCCTGAGGTCCCACAGTGGTGGTACCCTCTAGTGGGGTGAGGTAAGACAGTTCTCGCAGTCCCCAACAGGCCCCAGTCTCTCTCAGTGGCTTAGAGGGCTCTGCCTGTCCAGGGGCCAGATGGGG